GTTCTGCAACAAAAAAGTGCGGTAGAGTGAGATAATGCAGTTCCCTAGCTTCAACGGAAGACAGGAGATACCTTTACGATCAGTACATGCATACCTGGTGTCCCAAAAATGTGTACGCACTGTTTAATCGTTAATATCTCTCTTTCCAAGATCCTCCGTTTCCTTATTTTCAGAGAACATTTTGTAGAAGTGCTTCAACTTGCATTTACGGTATGGAGCAAAGATAAAGACCCCTACACTAGGCTAATCAGAGTGGATTATTCCAAATACGAAACTTGCACTTTACCATATAGCTTCTTTTATAACTCAGACGTTCTTAGAAAATTTGATCACATCATTTGCAAAACCCTCAGAACTTGTAGACTGTCGTGTAGTGAAATCATGTTACACAACTCTCCAGAATTTTCGTAAATTTTTTTACGAACGGCCTATCATACAGTAGCGCCATTTGCTGCGAATTCCTACCGTAATGGTAAAGTAACGAAGAGAAGTTGAAGCTAGCTCTACAAAGTGTCGCTTGAGGATAGGCAGACCTCTGGAAGAGAGATGACAACGATCGAACAGTGTATACATACTTTTGGGACACCCTGCATAATGCTGATGGGCTACGAGAAGAAATTCGAGGATTTGTTGTTCTATTACAACTGACCCAGAGCTAGTTCAAATAGCAACTTGCTTATCAGCCTCAGAGTGGTGTTATGATGCCGTTGTGAGAGCAATACTGAGTAAAGCAACACTTGCACGAGAAATTCTCATTGTCAGAATACGCGCATGGATGCCAGCCACTTCGCTGTTGAGAAAAACATTCCGCAAGCGCTTACTCTCGCAAGCCTCAAATTTAACTCTCACCCTGTCTAAAATTTTCAAAAGAACAATATCTGACCTTCCAGTATCGCACAAAAAGGTGGGGGTTGGATTCATTCAGCGGACTGAAGGAGTTTTTTTTTTCAGATCTTTCAGATTTTTTCAGATTTACTTTGGTAGGTGCCAGAGTAAGCGAATATTTTGTTCAGCTTCGCTCAGCTGCAAAAGGCGCACAGAATTAACGTTGATTCTGCGCGGGACCTGCAGCTGAAGCAGGCCTTGGCAGCAGTAGAGGTTATGCAGCAAACATTAACTCTGCGCGCCTTCTGTAGCTGAACGAAGCTGAACAACATATTCGCTTACTCTGGCACCTACAGTAAGTTTCGACCCGCATTAGGCGGAAATTGGGCTGGCGGGAGTCCGCCTCGCAACAGCTCGCGCCGTTTCGCAGCTACAGTATATCTTATCGTGCTAAGAACCCATGTCTGCGTCTCTTCAATCTCTTTAGTCTTTGCTTGGCAAAATGCCAGCGCTATGCGCTCGCGAAGCCTCCAGCGATGCGCATGCGCTGCTCCACTGAGACTGTCTCGCCTAATCCGGGATGAAACCGACTGTACAGTCTGCCCCAATCGGGATCAGGCCGAACCGTCGGCTGAATCTGCGCGCTCGCAGCGCTAGGGGATTGCGCTGCATACGCGCGCTATCGCAGAGAGTGAAGAGATCGAGGAGAGAGCAGACTAGTCAGCCGCAGATGTGGCGCGAAAACCTCGCGGCGCGAACTCCCGCCATGCCGATTTTGGCCTGGTTAGGATTGGGGCAGACTGTACAGTGAGTTTCGACCCGCTTTAGGCGGAAATTGGATTGGCGGGCGTCCGCCTCGCAACTGTTCGCGCCGTTTCGCAGCTACAGTATATCATATCGCGCTGAGAACCCAAGCCTGCGTCTCTTCATTCTCCTCAGTCTTTGCTTGGCAAAATACCAGCGCTATGCGCTCGCGAAGCCTCCTGCGATGCGCACGCGCTGCTCCACTCTTTCGCCTAATCCGGGATGAAACCGACTGTACCTTTGGCTCACGTCGCCCTCGGTCATGCTTATGTCCGCGGAGCGCGGCAAGCTCCTCGGGCTGCATTCTTTTTGCATCTCAACTATAGTTTATAGAATTTCGCATCTCAACTACAGTTGATCTGCTTCTTTTTCTCACTGTCATAAAAAATCATTCTTCGTAGCATTTCTCGACTTTTGTCTACTATTTGCACTCAGGACTGTCAAATTGGTCAATTGACGTGGATGTTCTCAATCGAACTACGACGAAATAGTTGTACATAGTTATTTTTGTATAATTTGCGCTGTACAGCTGCTTTTTGTAAGTTTGTCTCTTTGAAACTGTCATGCTTTCGTGGGCCGACGCTTTCCTCTTGCTGTATTTGTTTCACTGATGGCCTGCCAAGCCTTCAGACTTGAAGTTGGTCGGAGAATGGTGCATAAGCATAGTCGTTTTGGCTAGAATATTGTGCACACTCTTTCTGCAGAACACAAACATGACGGTTACGTTGTGCGCTGCTCTTGCGTTTCCAGTTCTTCAGTGCTTAGCGATTCAGTCCACCCACTGTGCATACTATCGCCTACTACCTGCAATGATGGCCTCGAATCGCGGTATCTAGCAGCACATCAGCTATTGGTCAGATGAACGAGGGATTTTATTCAGGCTATTGAGGCTGCTGTTTAGCTGGATTGATATATACTAATCTCCGGCACGTTTTTACTACACTGAGTTCAGGCTGTTACGGTGCTCCTAGCAAAAGCTTGGACACTAGTTTTCAGAACGGTTATAGGCTTATTATTTAATATATTTTCAAACTAGGGAAGAACGTGTAAGTGAGTTTGAGAGTGACCTCTTTAAAGTATCATTACCACCTTGTGTTACATTCCAAACTCGCATAACTACTTTCTTCATGTTACTTCATTAATGTAACTGATAGTTCACTATTCGAGCCACCTGCACTTTGATACAAAAGGATTGGCGGCTGGAAGGCGACCGCATACGCCCGTGATGCAGTCACACGTATATACTTAAATCTACACATGGCTGCGCAAAGCGCGCCCCATGCCCCAACGCGAATTTGTCCGGCGCGCAAGATCCTCGCTGTTGGAGCACGCTAGACCGAGTGAACTTACTCTCTACACTTTTCACAAACGTAATTTTGAATGCTCAAGCAGTTTGTTCGGTTTGCCTATTTGTCTCAGATCTAAGGTGAGGTGAAATATCCCATAAATACTTTCTGTAGTTGGAAGTATAAGAAGTTCTCTGAAATTTCTTTCTTCTTGTATAGTGTTAGCATGGTTTATCGCCCTATGAATTTACCAAAGTTTGTCTGTGTGAAAGTTGGAAAACAATACCATTGATCTACTTCTCGCATATGCAGGCAAGTTGCGTTTCTGAGTCTTGCTTCCCTCACTGAATTTGTACAAACTTAGAACCTTTGTCTTACTGCTCTATCTGGTGCCAAAGTTGGCTTCTAATGAAAACCGAAGAGGAATAACTTCCTTTTGTCTAACTTTACAAAGCTTTTGTATTCAGCTAATGTTTGGAACTTGCTTTGCAACGATTTCGAACGTTCCATTGGCCTGAAGATCAAGTCTGGTTCGAGATGATTTTGGATGCATGCCTGTCCTTCGTGAGTGTATCGCTATTCAGCACTGTTTATACGTTCCAAGGAGTAAGAACGTATAGGCTAGTGTTTGGCCATGATAGGGAGTTATCAACGCAAAAAAGTGCATGACACAAAGCCTAGCAATGCATGCTTACAATCTGAATTCTGATACGGACAGCTACGCGTATCGTTGGATCAAGGAGCAGCCTCTAACTCATACTGAACTACTCAGTTGTTTGTAAGCACTTATCGATAGCTTCAGTTGTAAAACATGCAGTGTGATGTTTCGACTGTGAAAAAAACTTACGTATTCTGTCAGACAGCTCACAGATCCACCACAGATTCGTCCTGCACCTTGCAAGGCACGCATCAGTGTTGAATAGCGGTTCTTTAGCCCCTAAGTGCAAGGCTGCTGCTATGATTTTCTTTCTAAAGAAAGAGTTTGGCCTATATGTTCTGGTAGGAGAACAAACTGACTCACAAAACGATTGTCATCAAGCAATTTTTAGTCAAAGACACTAAGATGGATTTTAGTAAAGAAAGTTTTACTCCTCTCTTTTGTTAAGACAAGGTTGTATGTCAAGGTTCCGCGAAACCATCACCGAAGACTTTGATTTTTAAAAGCACTTATTGTGCGCTTGATACACTGATGGTTTATTTCACTCATATAAAATGCCCATTCGCCCTCAATACAGTCTCAGGTATGAAAACGTGTCAGAAACAAAAGACATTGTGGTACTGATCAGTCTATCGAATGGACTAGCATAACATTTGAGGATGTTTTTTGCCTACGTATCAGTTTATAGAAGCAGAAGCTTTGAGAACAAGCATGCGTTAATCCGAAGCAAATTACTCCACCATCATTGAATTCTTTCTGTACAATATACTTCACAATACGTTTGTGGCATGGATCTTCGAAAAACACCACACTTTCACAATTAAATTGTCACATCGCTTTCACTGTAAGCAAGAACACACATGTTGTCATTCACTGCAGTCAACTGTATGCCAATAAGCAAAGAACACGGCAAGAACTGTATGCGAAAAACAACTCAAACGGCAGAACTGTGTGCAAAGAACCCAAGTTCACGATGTTTAGCGTGCTCCGAGAGCATAAACCATGCGCGGCGGCTAATTTCGCACTGGGTCATGGGGCGCGCTTTGCGCAGCCATGTGTAGATTTAAGTACGTGTGATGCAGTCTACATCTCTCTCGCGAGCGTACTCTCTTATGGTTCTCTAGCCTTGATTAGGCCTTAAAACCCCGTCTTCCACCGATTCCATTGATCAAAGGGTACATCGTGGTTTTCATACTTCTTACATCTACATTTGAGATGACTTTGCATCGAAGAACTCTTTCACAGCATCCACGATGAGATACCAGTGACCATATCAGTGTTAGTTGGGTTTTGTTGTTTAAAGAAAACGAGATGTCTGTGAATAAACAATAAACATCCTATTACCAGAAAAGAGGAGAAGACGAACTATAGCTGAGATGCAAAAAGAATTTATGTCCAGGAGCTTGCCGCGCTCCGCGGACTTAAGCATGACCGAGGGCGACGTGAGCCAAAGTAACGACGGCGACGTGAGCTGTCCTCGAATACGTCCTCGGCGTTTGCCGCATACCGGATCTCATTATCAGACGGTAATGTTCACATGAAAAGCAGTCTGGAATTGGTCACAAACTTTCGCCAATATCCACAGATGTATTGGCAGCAAGGGATGGTTCGGTCAATGATTCGCGATAAGTTGTTCAAAGGCAAGCTCGGGTAACCACAGGCAGAACGCTGTGATCGCACCTTGAAAGCTCCACGGAGGAATGACCGCTTGTCGCAACTGTTTAGCAATTAAATGAACAGCGATTGCTTGAAGTAGGGTCTATAAAGCACAATTAGGATTTCAGCACATCAAATAGGGCCAGCAACGACGGACAGAACCTTTATACACACATATAAAAAGAAACTCTTGCTTGCCGCTGTCTTCAAGCGTTTTATGGATCTGCAGCAGCGCGTGTCACAGGAGGTGCTCAACGCAACATTGCGGAAAAACCATCTAAAAAACACGCGTCGGCAACACATTTCATTTGAACTCACTCTGCGACTGTTTTTGCTTGGTCATTTGTGAGTTTGGTTTTTTATGTACTTTTTGCACTTTTGAATAGTCATGTTATTCTTCTCAATGGGCACAGTAAGCCTTATGTTCGTTTGCCTCTTGTTGTTCCTTGTTACTGGAATATGATGCCGGCTGGAGAAGCATCCAGCGTCCTCTTTCATAAAATTGGCTAGCAACCACAAATGATTGTGCAGTAAAACGCCGATGATGGCGATTACATGGACCATATTCTCGCTTTCTCATGATATTTGGCTAGTGTGATAGGAACTACTAAGGGAAAACTCCTGGAAAGACAGACTGAAAAAGCTTAGCTGCTCGGTACCAAGCGAAGGTAGAGAACTTTGTTACTCGAGTTTTTAGTGGCCGAAAGCGTAGAGAGTGTTCACGTACGACACTTCGAATCAGAAGTGATGAAGTGAGAGCGAGGCTCAGAGCTGGTCGATATTGCGCGATGACGGGATGAGGCCAAGTGAGGAGGCGTCCCTTTTCGAACTCGCCTCCTGCTCTACTCACTCCTCGGCATACAGCATTGTCCGCAATCGATACAATCTATTACAATCCGAAAAGCGTAGCAGCACGTCCCTCATTCCATTTTCTATCCGTCGACAACTCTATTTTCCAATGCTAATTCACAAGTCATGAGTGCATTTGTGCGTTTGATTTCCAGTGGTTCATGTTGCTTTCCACTAAGAATCCATCAAGTCCAATTCCTTAGCTTGGTGCTCCCGTGTTTTCCATAAGTCGTTATGCTCTCATGTCAATATACATCTGCACATGCATTCTTGTTCTTCACAAACTTTTCTGGCTTACCGTCTCTGTAGACTCTAACAAATGAATCGTAGCGAAACTAAATATTAAGACAACTACCATGTTGGGTTGGCAATCAGTGAGGCGTTCGCCTGAACATTATCGTCGTAGGGGACGAGTATAAAATGTTGGTGCTCTTTTTTCTCGAACTTGCTATTCGCATAAGTACCAATCTTACTTTGGGCTGTTACACTTTGCGTCGATATGGTTGGTATCTCTTTTTCACTCGCAGTAGAGGAACACCATACTTTTTAATCCAGTCCTCTGGCGCTTGTGTGTATTGTTAATTTTGTCTTTCTTATTTATCAGCTTATTTTTTAGGATGAGTTTCTAATGGGCCGTCCTTCTGCTCGTAAATCGCCGAACTGCCGACGTAAATTCAAGCTGGAGCGCATTCCTGATTATCTCCGTGAAACCGTTGACTGGATCATCGGGTAAGTTCGTCATTTTCTATTTGTCAGGCACCACACAAAGGTGATTTCGAGCAGTATGCTTGCAAGACCTATTTTTATAAAAAAAGGATTTTTGTATAGTGGACATTTTCACTAATTCGGAACATCGACATTGTACTACCAGTTTGCCGTTGAGTATATGTTTGCGATCGCCATCGTTCCACAGTTCTGTCGTGAAAAGCCTCAAGGATCCAGTGCAAGCATTTTTCAAAGGACTATTAAAGGGGGGGGGGGGAATGAGTTCTCATCATTTGCAGGAACTGCTTTTGCGTTTGTGCTTTCCAACCAGATTGCTATTTACTTTACGGCGCTTCTAAACCTGAAATCAGCTGTTGTTCCGTACTATATGGAAGCTGCTTCTGTTCTAGATTTTTCTGAAGTTTTCCCAAGTATAAGTTTTCTCACTGAGTAATGGAAACATACACTGCATTGATGTCATTGCATTGATGTAGCTCTCGCTGATTCCCATCTATCCTGTCTCGCGTGGCAGTAGAACCGGAATCGTTAGTTTTCATACAAGGATTGATTTGTTCTAATGTTTATATCAATCTTAAACTATGAATTTCACCTGCAATCTAACTTAATCTTACGAGAAATTTATGTTGTGTAGTGTTGGACGATATCTTTGCAAAAAACTATATTTTTCCAGCCCTCGAGAGTACTAAATTCGCAGGGTTATGAACTTTGAGCAGTTTTTGCAGCAATTTTTCTTCCAATGACTACTAGGGAGTCAAAAGCGTGATTTGATTTGTAGATACATGATTAGAGAACGTTGTCGAGTTCTAGCAGAAGCTCTCACTCAATTTCATTTTGCTATTACATGTGCTTGCAATTTCGTAATTGTTATCATTTGCTTTTTGATAGAATTAATTGATGCGGTATGTATAGTGACGTCTCGCTATCACTGGTGGTCTGTTTAGACATCTGGGCGTTGACAATAAGTGTTAACACGCTGCGATGCAAGGTCGGCGCCCACTCGCTGCGGAGGCCGTCCCTATCCACAACCATCCTTGCAGCGCTCAGACCGCTCCTTACTCGTCTCCTAATCGAGATGCTGAGGTATTCCCGTGCGCCAAAATTGTTACCCTATTTTCAGGTGTACTATATATAAGCCGCACCCTTTCTGCTCTAAACGCGAGCAGACCCAGGCGTGCCGCCGCGCGTGTGTCTCGCGAAGCGGTCGCCTTATCGCATACTGCTCCCACTTAACGCGCTCCATGATGACAGTCAGTCTTTTGGCGTGTTCGCCTTTAGAGCCAAAAGGGTGCGGCTTATACACCTGAAAATAGGGTGGTCATGGAATCAGAGTGAAGTGCACATTCCCATTCTTCTTTATACTTGCAATCATGTTGTGGAGTGTATTTGTAGAGTATTAGCTGAACTCTTCCATTTCGACGCGTATTTTGCCCTTGAGAACGAGCTGCACGCCAGTGCGAATCTGTCCGCGCTTATTATATCTCATGAGTCATCATTTACCGCCATGTCGTAAATGTGTCATTCCACTTCTGTTTAGGTAATTTTCCTTCATTTCAATAACAACACAGTGAATTTGTGGACTGTCCTCCACTTCGAGTTATTGTTGCAATATAACTCATTTTTTAAATTAGGAATTACTTCATTGGCCCTTCGTACGAGAGATCCCATCTTGTGAGGATTGTTTAGGGTACGAATGGTCAATCACAGTCTTCTCTTAGGATGTTGCTGCGATGGTACACTTTGAGCTAGAGCTCAGGCACATGTGGCAGTTCGATGGCATCATGGAGTAGATATTGTTGGATGGTTCTTGAAGAAAAACGCTAACAGGCTCCTCGTTCTCAACACCAAATAATTAGATACCACATCCCTATTTCCCATCATCCTCGTTTGAATCTTTCAGCGGGTGCGAAAATGCCCTCTTCTCAAGTGTTTCAAGCGCAGCGAAGCTTGCGTGCGAATTTGGTTTTTCAGTAAGACAGAGAGACAGAAACTCATAGGTCGCCGGTTTGCCAGGACGCTGCATGCAGCCTAAGGTTTCTTTCGCATTTATTATCATACGCTGTTCCGCTTTTTTGCATGCAATTTGCTTTCGCTGTTTCCTTTTAGTTCCCAAATTCTTCGATTAGTCGCAATGAAACCATCTGTTCTGAAGCCACACTTTCCTTTTTGAACGATTATGGACATTGCCTTCTGTACTTTATGCCAAAGTCGTCTCTCGTTCCTTCTGCAGATGTTATAAAAATGCGTTCATATGGACTGGTTGCCTCTTATCTGGTTTTATCCACAGTATGCCGGTCTTTTTAGCACACAAGATCCACTTTTCTCTTCTTTAGGACTCTTCATATGCTAATCCATAGCTTCTGCTGTGAGCTTGATCAAGTTCGTGAAACACAGTCTCTTAAACTCATCGGTGCGATATAGAATAACGCCTTTCATTCTTACCATGGTACGTAGCTCTTTTTGAGCTTTACATCGTACATGCATCTGCGGTATGTAATTGTAAGATCTGTAATCTCGTGTAATTTTTACGATTTCCAGTTAGGGGCTCTGCTTTTATTGGAGTTTTTCTTATTGTGTAGCATTTTCTCAGGTCTCTATGTGGATATCTGTTGCCGCTGTATTTCTTTCCTAACATTTTACGAAGTGTTCGCATCACTTTTCTAAAAAGAAACTTCCTGGTTGAATTGGCATTACATCGTGAAGGCTACTACTAAAGAACTGCGGATGTTTAGGGTTAACTCTTATCGTACCTCTTATCGTAGTTCTTGTTGTACCCGTTATGATTGGAGCTTGAGAACTTTACAATTAGTGAATGGTTGAGTAGTTGAGTACTCCTTTCTGGACGTCCTTTTATGATATTTCGGACCACTCTTCCTGCTCTTTTTGCAACACTGCGTAATCTAGAAGCAGACGAGTACTTTTGACTGAGAAACCTGACTCGAATCATGCTGCTCTACTTTGATTCCACGTATTGTTCTGATCAGGTCATAATCAGTGCATTGTCGACTATGAGAAGGAGAAGGTTTGCGAAATATCGACTCTAAATGCAATCGCTGTTTGTGTATCAGTGCAGGTGCGCTCCAGCCAGTTCCATCGTCAATTATATCCGGAGTTACGCCACACGGGAGGTAGACATGGTCGTAATCGACATGGTACTGTTGTTTGCTATAACTTGATATCAACAAAGTTGGTTAAGCCCACTAGCAAGATACAAGCACACTGAGGTGTCGATTCAATATCATATACTAGCTTAAAAGATGTCCTACCAGATTTAATGGATATCGCATGTTGAATTACCCTTATGGATAAAGTTTTAATGAGTTCTGAGGTTTACAGAAATTGGGACACCTAGTGAAGTGGTCAAGGTGAGTCAGCTATCACTTTTTTGCACTCAATAAAAAGAACTTTCCTTCTTTGCCCACATGGGAACTCTCACTTCGAATAACCGCCAAACTTTGGAATTAGGAACCAGTCAAAATCTCTTTTGTTTCATTTTTGCTTTAGTGCTTTCAGCAACAATTACTTAGAGTAAGGGAAACGGATTAGACTCAAATCACCCGCGTGAAAATCACGAGATTTAAACATCAAATATATATGTTTTTGCCACCTTCCCTCGCAGAAAACGTAATAGCGCAAGTTCAGCATACTACCATGACTCAGCAGCATAGATTTGGAAAAACGACTATCTTTTAGGAGTAACATTTCGCCAGATTCCTACTGTGGCTATATGAAAAGCCTAGATGTATGAATGGTTTGAAGACGAGTGACACACCCCATACTTACCACCAACGAGACTTTCAGCAAACGTTATATACATGGTTCGGTAGCCTAAATCTCGTAGTGCTCACAGCGGTAATTAGAGCCGAATACATTTGCTAAATGCACAACTTTTGAAAGCGAGAGGTGAACAAACGTAATATTGACAGGCTCCCATTTCCATAGTTTAGCTTCTATTTTGAATAAGATTTATCATATGTTCAAATACGGAGTAGTGCTTTGAATTGAGTGCAAAAAGAGGAGCTAACCCATCTTTGAAATAAAGGTAATAATGTTTGTGATCATTTCACTTGTATGGCCCAATTTTTGGAAACCAAGAATTCCCTGAAACTTGTTCCGCAGGGGTGACGTGCTGATTACAATTATGTTATTCATTATGTTTCGCGGCTTTATGTTATGCCTAATATAGTTGTAGCGAACGGGAAATTCCATCGAACGAATGAATATCGACTGATTGATTCTGGGAAAAATTTCGAATGATCGAATATTATTCGATTTCCGACTTTTATATTGTTCGAATCCAAATATTCGAATGCGGACGCTTGTGAAAATTCGAACCTTCGAATATTCGTATAACCGAACTTGATCGAATATTCAACTATTCGGACAAGTGATATTCGAATATTCAAATGCGATATTGAATATCCGAATGAAATATTTGAGTCTTTGAATGCATTGTTCGAATATTCGAATATTCGAACAACTGTTTCTCGAAACTTTTCGAGTATTCGAATGAGTATCTTTTTGATTCCTCGATTCGAATAATTCATTTTTTCAAATCGTCGAATGAATGAATTATTCGAATACAGGCCTTTTCCATTTTTACTCGACTTTCGATTATCGAATAAATGGACCTCGAATATTCGAATAGTCGAATATCTCGAATAAATCATTCGAATACGAATAATCGATTCAACTTAATAGGTAGACGATGATGTCGGGGGGAGGGGAAGGGGGGGGGGATCGTATCCGGCGGTCGTGTGCCGCACCTCTTGCTCGACCCTGATTAGATCAGTCAGTTTTTGTGATGCTACCAGGGAAGCAAAAGGAGTAGAGCGTATGTGAAAGTAAAGCTTTGTAGGAGCATTCAGTCTTTGCACTGTGATAATTAGAGCGTTTGTATAATGGGGAACTACAGATGAGAATCACTTGAAGAGTACAGGCTTTGTCAGGGGCAACCGATTCTTGCATTGGCGTTGGCTTTACGGGCCCGCTGAGCAAAGTCCCGC